TAGGATCTATCTTGCAAAAGAACGGAGAATTAGATGGAGATCTCAACCATAGAATACAAGCTAGATGGATGAAGTGGAAGAGTGCATCCGGCGTGTTGTGTGACCGTCGTATGCTACTGAAGCTCAAGGAAAACTTTTATAGGACGGCAATAAGGCCGGCGATGCTGTATGGCACAGAATGTTGGGCGGTGAAGCATCAACACGTACACAAAATGGGTGTAGCGGAGATGAGGATGCTTCGTTAGATGTGTGGGCATATGAGAAAGGATAAGATTAGGAATGAGGATATCCGAGGTAAAGTAGGAGTAGCCGAAATTGTAGCAAAATTGAGAGAAAATCGGTTACGGTGGTTTGGACATGTGCAAAGAAGGCCTACTGACGCTCCGGTTAGAAGATGCGACTCCGGGACAGAGGTTCAGGGCTGAAGGGGTAGAGGAAGACCTAGGAAAACTTTGGAAGAGACTCTAAGAAAAGACTTAGAGTATTTGGATCTAATAGAGGACATGACACAGGACCGAGCACAATGGCATTCTAAGATTCATATAGCCAACCCCACTCAGTGAAGAAGGCTTTGGTGTATTTAACACAATACGTTGAAATGAAGCAAAGCTTATTTATTGATATCTCCGATAAGTTACAAATATGTACATATACATGAGTCAAAATAAACAAACAAGAGGGAGCCTTCACAAAGGTTGCGTAGGAGAAGTCTCACCAGTCGGTAGAGCCCCAGAAAGAGAAGGCACCGGAGGGGGATCATTCGGAGCCTCAGTACTGGATAGAACCCTAGAAGGAAGAGGCATCGGAGGTTGATCATTTCGAGCTTCATTATGCGGTACAGCCTCAAAAGACGAAGGCAATAAATGCCTTTGGAACAAACCCACAAACCGCTAATGATCAAGTAAAACCTGACCTTCAGATTCCTTCATCTGGTCTAGCTTCCTCTTCATGTTTGTAGCATAGTCATGTGCGAGCCGGTGCAACTGTTTATTCTCATGCTTGAGCCCTCTAATCTCCTGTTTAAGACTCATCACTTCAGCCGCCAATGATTCAACTTGGCGGGTTCGAGCAAATAGGCGTTGGGTCATATTAGACACAAAACCTGCACACTGAACACTTAGAGCCAGAGAATCCTTAACAGCCAACTCATCAGACCGTTTGAAAAGTAGTCTGTTATCTTTGGGAGTGAGAAGGTTCCTGGCCACCACCGCAGTAGTCATATCATTCTTCATCACGGAATCCCCAACGATAAGAGGACCAGTAGGGGATAAGAAGGATGGGCGCCATATGTTGTCTGGAGAAGGCGTGGCTGCCTCTTCAACAAGGTTCAAGTCAAAACGACGGTCGGAAAGGCCAGACATTTTCAAAGGTGTTGAAGAAAGAAAAGGTCGGACAAATCAAGATCTTAGAAGTGCAAGAAGGGAGTTGCTACTGGTGAAGATTCAAGTGTGCTTTGGAACTTAATGCCAGCCTCTATAAAAATCTGCACTCGACGGAGCTTCAGAAATCGAAGAGGCATCTGCCCAGAAATCGAAGAGGCATTTGCTTTCTCAAAAGCTGGGCTGCTCAGAGACCACGAGGGCCGATCTCTGAAATCGAAGAGGCGTTTGCTTTCTCAAAAGCTGGGCTGCTCAAAGACCATGAAGGCCGATCTCAGAAATCGAAGAGGCGCTTGCTTTCTCAAAGTAGGGCTGCTCAGAGACCACGAGGGCCGATCTCAGAAATCGAAGAGGCACCTGCTTTTTTTCAACCTTGTTAGCACCTGTCACATGCACACTCAGCTTTGCTGAAATTACGGGCATTCTGTTGAAGATTTCTGGTGAAGTAGAAAGCACGTGAATCTTACTGTTCAATCATCCACTTTCCACACGCATCATCAGCTCATAAGTACCACAGATAACTTTGCCGAAGATCTCTGACAAAGTTTAGACACGTGAAGCTTGCAGCTCCCACTACATTGCTATGACCAAGAAGGGTAAAAGAATAGCAAAGAAACAGCACTAACAAAGTTTAGACGCATAAATTTTGAAGGTCTAGCTACCATATTATTACCCACAAGGGTAAAGGAACAGCACCACTGCTGGATAATTGGGAAGTCCCTGTGTGTCAACCTTTGTGCTCCGTGGCAAGGTAAACTAGCAAACATGCCCAACCTTTACTCACATTTGAGAAAACACTCCCAACAAGATTGCTTGCTCCAAGATCGAAGAGGCACCATCCTCCGAATCTCGAGAGCCAGACTCCCAACATGATTACTTTCTCAAAAATCGAAGAGACACCACCTCCGAATCTCGAAAGCCAGACTCCCAGCAAGATTACTCTCTCAAAAATCAAAGAGGCATCGTTCTCCGAATCTCGAGAGCCAGATCCCCGCCATGATTGCTTGTACGAAAACCGAAGAGGCACCGCTTTCTCAACTTCGAGAGCCAAATCTCCTTGGATAAAGCTTGTCTGTAATCTTCACACGCAACATCAGCTTTCCAGATACCACATACCACTTTTTCAAAGTGCTCTGACACACGTGAAGCTGGCAGCTCCCACTACCGTGCTATGACCAAGCAGGGGAAAGGAATAGCATTACTACTTGTTGTTAGGGAAACTCCTATATATGTCGACCTCCATTCTCAACGGACAGGCAGACCTGCAAAAATGCTCAACCCTTCCTCATATCTGAGAGGGCACTCCCAACGAAGCCTCTCAAAATACTTAGCTTTCTTTCCCCTCGATAATACCTCTGCAAACAAGCTACACCAGAGCAAGAATATCTCATATCATCACGGTTAAAAGCAAGAGTATCTATTATCATGCTTTTTCCCTGTCTTTTCCTTTGGCCTTGTTCTTACCTACAAGACAAGGAGAAAGAGAGCAATCAGTCAGCACTTGGAATCAAGCTTCCAGTCAGGGACTGACTGCCTGGAACCCCTTACCTGATTACTTACCTGGCATTGCTCTCGAGTACTCATCTTCAACATCTTATGCTTCCAGAGAAGATACCACATTTGCCTGAAAAACAGATAGGGAAAGTGAGAAGGATACAAGGAAGCATGTGGAGACAAGCGTAACAGAACACGTGCCGATACATCCACTACTTTGTTAACAGCAAAAGTATCCCATATCAGCAGGGTCGAACGTACTCTAGATTTGATAGACTTGTTTTGACCCTCAAATTCTTCAGTCGGCCTTCTACTCTGGAGGAAACCAGAAAATCCTCCATCCCAGTTCAAGAATAAGCTTGTGGAAAGTTACTTCTTCAAAAGCAAAAGTATCTCATATCATCTATTCTCATTTTCTTCTCTTTATCCTTCATGCTGCCTGCAAGATAGAGAGAATGAGAACAATCAGCCGGAACTCGAAATCAAACTTCTGATCTGGGACTGATTGCTTGGAGCTCTGATTGCTTACCTTGTATGTCACCTCTTTCAGCAGATCCCCTAGCTCGGCGACTTGGAGGACTCCTACTACATGGTTTGTATCGCCCTTGACCAAGCATGAAACTACAAGTAAGCTTCAAGTGAAATTGATACATTACCTTGTGCATCTCCACCAGTTAAAGATAACACCCCTGGATGGAGGAAGAGTACTTCCAGAGAAGATGCCACATCTACCTATGAGACAGATAAGGCAAGTGAAGACGAGAGCTTGAACCTATATCATTTGTACTAAATCATTCACTTGTACTCACTAAAAGAGAGCTTGAACCTATGTACTTGTGTAAACCCTTCACAATTAATGAGAACTCTTCTACTCCGTGGATGTAGCCAATCTGGGTGAACCACGTACATCTTGTGTTTGATTTCCTGTCTCTATCTATTTACATACTTATCCACACTAATGACCAGAGCAATCCAGCGAAGATCACAAACTTAATACTTTCTGTTGTACCAAAGTCCTCACTGATTTTATGCATCAACAATCCTTAAGTCCTTACCTTTTTGCGTTGGTAATGGATGAGTTAACAGGACATATTCAAGATGATATTCCTTGGTGTATACTTTTCGCAAACGATATAATGTTGATAGATGAAACTCAGGATGGGTAAATGCGAAGCTTAATCTTTGGAGAGAAGTGTTGGAATCTAAAGGTCTTCGCCTAAGCCGATCAAAGACAGAATATATGGAGTGCAAGTTCAGTGCAAATGGAGGCCAAAATGAGTTAGGGGTGAGGATCAGAGATCAGGAAATACCAAAGAGCGACCGTTTTCGCTACCTATGATCTATCTTGCAAAAGAACGGAGAATTAGATGGAGATCTCAACCATAGAATACAAGCTGGATGGATGAAGTGGAAGAGTGCATCCGGCGTGTTGTGTGACCGTCGTAGACCACTAAAGCTCAAGGGAAAATTTTATAGGACGGCAATAAGGCCAGCAATGCTGTATGGCACAGAATGTTGGGCGGTGAAGCATCAACACGTACACAAAATGGGTTTGGACATGTGCAAAGAAGGCCTATTGACGCTCCGGTTCGAAGATGTGACTACGGGATAGAGGTTCAGGGCCGAAGGGGTAGAGGAAAACCTAGGAAAACTTTGGAAGAGACCTTAAGAAAAGACTTAGAGTACCTGAATCTAACGGAGGACAGACACAAAACCGAGCGCAATGGTGTTCTAGGATTCATATAGCCGACCCCACTTGGTGGGAAAAGACTTTGTTGTTGTTGTTTGTTCTGATGCAATTTCTTTCAGGAATAATTTTTGCCAATGAAATGAAGGAGCGAAGGCTTAAGTCACTCACTGCTAATTTGCACCGCATGGGGGTGACAGAGTCGTTTGTAACTATGATGGCGAAGAGGTTAGATTTTCAGTCGTTTATAACGTGACTGACGTTAGGAAATTGTATAAACTTATACCTTATGTTCGTTTGAAAGTCTAATCCTCTGTAAAATCGATAACATGCCATGTGGGACCATTTCTAGCAATCCAAGCGCGCATAAAGCAAACAATCATCGTAAACATATTAAGCATATGGCAGTCAAGTCCTTCAAAATGGTGGTCGATGGAAGGTTTAGAGAAAATTATAAATTGTTGAGAAATGATTCTGGGAGTGGGATTAGCACATCAAGGAATTGAGAATACAACTGAGATGACTGGATTAGCCCGAATTACAAGAGATATACACATAAAGAGATCCCCTCTCTCACAAGTCCAAAATTAATATATAAAAAAAAGAGTAAACTTTCCCCTCTTCCTATGCTTCAAAAATTTGGCATCACCTAACTCCAAGACGTAAAGGACCTAATAAATAATTTGATACAAACACCGGATATAACGAAGACCGTAAACGATGAAGGAGCAGATCCTCCCAACACAATCGCAATCGAAAACACCATTTCCGGGAAAAGCAACAGCAAATAACAGCTTCAGCTCCATAAATATTTCCCAATTATGAAGCCTCCACCCTGTTATGCTTTATAATCCTCATCCCTGTTATTTCTGAAACAATTATGTTGTCATATTGCCTGTAGCTGCGAGAAGGAGATCCGAATCATTGACCCACCGAGCGAGGTAGCATGCTTGCATACAAATGCTTCAGTGGCCTGCTCCTCAGTTTCAAACATAACCAAGGCCTGCTTCCTCCAGGTGGCTCACAATCTCCTCTTCGGTGACTTCCTGGGGAAGAGAAGACAAGTGGATCATCTTTGTAGGAGAGCAGCAATACCGGTAGTTCTTTGCTGCATTACGGTTGAAGCGGTTGAGATTTGAGTTCACATATTCATGTGTGTCAGCACCTTGCATTATATTTGGATGCTTCGAGAAGTTGACCTCCAATCGCTTCCCAAACAGTAGTGCACCCTGCATCACAAATATGAATTTGCATTGGTACCAGAAGGACAGCTTTTCTCACTATAAGAAATGTGAGGAAGAAATGAGAGAATATGTAAAACTTTTAACTGAGGGGGAAAACGTCCATTTAACATTGTTTTTGGCTTTTGTTGTTTGATTGGCCGTGTGAATCATTGCATTGTCAACATTCCCTCGTTTTCTTCTCTACCTTTAGTTACAAAAAGAAAAACCAATAACGAAAATTCTGCCAGACTACTCAAAACCAAAGTTGAGTTGCACCAAATACTGCATTATTCAACCTCTAAAGCAAGCTTTCAGAGACATGGTACACCATCAAGAACAATTATGATATATCGTTCAGAATATATAGGTCGTGTACAACTACCAGAAAACCAACAAACAGATGCCACACATCTCTTGTCAAAGCTGTTACAGTCCATAAGCAGAAAAAGTGAGTGGACCATCATTTGTCATATAAAGAGTTACAAATCACATGACAAAACAAAAGACCCCAGATAGTTAAGCTTGCATCACTCACCGAAAAATATTATAATTCCATAGTGAGATTGACCACCCTAAGTATAAACACACTGTATCCTATCATAAGTAAGAGTAGTTTAAACAACCACACCTTTAGAAAGTGTACTGCCAGTTCAGCCTGAAAGCCATCACCCATCTGGACAAGTGCATGGTCGGGCTTGTTTTGAAGAAGTTTAATTCTCACAATGTTTCCATAGATGGAAAACAGGTTAAAAAGTTTGTCCTCATCTATTTTCTGAAATAAGTGTGCCGACGTGTCAAGAATAAAGAACATAGGAGAAAGAAGGAAGAGGAGCAGTAGCACGACTTACATCAGGATTCAGATTGGAGACGAGGACTGTACACCAGTCATTGGTTCCACTTATAACAGGAGGCAAACCTCCACCAAAGGCTTCCGCAATTGCAGCCGCATTAGTCATCTAGATTTAAGAGGGGAAAATGGTCAATTACTTTAATATTTTGCATTATAGTATGAATATAAACAGAGATACAATTGGGAAATGAAATCTACACACCCCTTTACTATTTCTGCATGCCCCTGTAAAATTCTGTCCATTGATTTTCCTTTGATTTATTCAATCCAAAGGCCAGAAAAAGAGAAAGCCGTGTAGGGGAGAAAATGGGGTGCAAGGATCATTTCCCATATAATTAAGGCACCACATGCTAAATAGGAGAGAATATCACAAAGTAGAAGCTGTAATGTTTCTTTAAAACTACATACATTTGGAGGCTCTTGTTTTAGATAGGCCTAGTGTTCCTCACATGGATCTACTAACAGTTAACCATAAATACACAGAAACCTTGGTTACAATCCTCTTTATAAGGACCAATGCAGGCCAAGGCGATCCAAAGAATTTTTTCGGTTTTCAGAGGCTGGCCATGCAAAGGTATTAGCAGATTTCTTTACCTTATGCCCCAAATAGTGTAATATCTCCAATGACACAAATTCCCCCCACTCATTACCAAAAGCAAAAAAAAAAAAAAAAAACTGTAGGAGATCCCCAATAGCGGTAAGCACATTTCAAATGAAACAGGCACGAAACCATGTGGCCAATTGCACATTTAAGAGCAAAAAGAATCAAGCAACAAGGAAAGAAGTCATCCACTAGACATCTTAAATATTTTCCACAAAATTGCAGGTAATATCCTCAGCTCAGCATTATCTCATACACGTATCCAAGACAGTCTGAACAATACCAACCTGCGGAAATCCAACTGAAAAACAAAAATGAACGTAGATATTAATAAATTATTGTCGATCACAAGATTGCTGCAATGAATAAAAAAACCAGGAGAAATAGAGCACCTGCGCTGGCTCCAGTACCTTGAAGGCCATACATGCCTCCTGCATCACCATATCCAGGCTGTAGCACAAAGTGAACAAAACTATAAGACAAAGGGGGTAGGTAACTAGAGAGAATATAACATATGAATTTAAAATAAACAACAAAATGCAGTGGAACACACTTGCGGGGATCTTCCTATCTGTTCTGAAGGCAAATTGGGATTAGTGAAATCCCTAGGCAGGAAGAAAAAAACAAAATTGATTCAGCACTAACAGCACGATAACGTCAAAAAGATATAGAGGATAAAATTAAGTCCATTAGATTCCAACAAACCTTGAACGTTCATTATTGTAGTTCACTTGTAATTCGTCAAGGCTGGATTACAATCAGAATAATGAATAAAATTATCCTCAATAGACAATGAGAAAGAAATATGATCAATCCAAGCATATAAATGGAATCCACAAATGATAAAAAGAAGGTTTGAAACCTACTTTGAGAACTGAATGTCTAGTTGACAACAACCATCATAAATATTACGTCCCTGTAAAGAGCAGATGTGTTAACCAATGCAGACTTCAAACAAATTATATGTCCAAGCTGTAAAGCAATATGGATGTTTGAAGAATACCTGCAGAGCAGTTCTAGCAGCAATAGCACTCTGTCGGGATTGATACTGAATTAGGGCCTGAAAACCTACATTGTTGCACAAACAGGACAACAAATAAAGCATTCATGCACTGTATGCTTAAAGTATGTACTACAAGGCTTAAGGTATGCATACAGAATCATTCTACAAAATGCAAAAATAAAAAAATAAAAAAATAAAAAAAATAAAAAAAAAGTTTTTTATAGCTACTGAAACACTGGTCGTCAATAATTAAAGCGAAAACGATCATTCTTATAGAAACAAGCACATATGCATCCAGCTTTGGATCAAGAGTCAACTTCAGAGTTGAGAGTTGTAATCTAAAATAAAGGAGGCATAGACTGAGAGAGAAAGAGGGAGAAAACTTGTAGAAGCTGACCAGCTGACATCTGAAAAGTGACGATCTTCTCTACAAATCCATGAGGAGAAAACACTTGATGCAGGACTTCCACTGTAATAGGATATAGCATGTGATGAATTGTAACTAACAGAATTTGGTTTGGCTGTGCATCCAGAAAGTGTCTGATAGCAGACCAGCATAGAGACAGAGGAGACGGGATAATAAATACAGAAGTACAGATAGAGAAAGAGACAACTAAAGTGATAATAAAAATAATATCTAACTGTAGAAGGATGGAAAGCATATAAAATATGGAAAGGAATATGAAAGGTTTTAAGATACGGATCTGGGTGCCTGTGAAGAATTTCGGAACAGACTTGATTTGTGTAATCTATACTATTTGTGTTCATTGGTGAATCCAGAAACCCCTTTCAACAGTATTCTTCAGATCAAACTGGACTATCAAAGATTGATTATAATCTTAAACCGTGGTAACAGAAAAATCTATATAAGAGGTTGACAATACTCTATTAGAAGACCTTGTTAAGACATTAACGAGGGATGAAAGAGAAAGAAACTTCTCTTATTCAGGCTACCACGCAATCGATCCAATAACCTATCTGCATTTAATCTGGCTCTTCTAAGACAAGCATGCAGATGAGGCACTGGGCATAACATCACAAAAGACGAAAGATATTAACCTTTAGGAATATGCTAATCCTATCACTTATCATGTAATTTATACTGAATGTCACTTGACCAAATTTGAAAAATCCATTTGACCTGAAATGCTAAATACTTTGTTTATATAAAATAAATGAAACACAAATGACCTCCAGAAGAACAAAATGCAAGATGGGCCTTTACAAAAGGCACAAAAGACGAAGGAAACACATGAGTTTAAAGTTGCCTGGGATTCAACAACGTAAGCTCTGAGCATTATATCTTACTCCTACAATTGCATGACTACAAGGGGTGCTCTACTCATTGCAAAGAGACTTCTTTGGTAACACGACATGCACATGTTTTGTTTTTCTTTATAAGGTCACTGATAACTGACCCATAAATTTATGATAAACCATTAGAGGGCAAGCAGAACTATGCTTCCTCGATTCAATCATAATACACTAACAACTGCTCCCTATAAAAAAAAAAAAGGTTAAAAAAAAGGTTTACGTACATGAGAATATATAAGATGCGAGGTGAAGAAAACAATGCGTGAGGCGGGTAAATATGACCTTAAAACATACATAATTACATAAGTTCTCTGAATAATAGATTTTTAAACATGATATAATTTTACTATTGCCTAGGTAATTATAACACTAACCATTAGCACCCGTATTAACTAAACTTATGGTAAAAGTACAGTATTCTGAAGAAGTTGTAAAAATTATATGGAAACTTATATGGTTTATGGCTTTAATACATAAGAAAAATAAAATATAATGGGGTTGATGGCCTTAATACGTCAAGGTATAAAAAACTATATAATATATATGGTTTTTTTATTATTTATTTATAGAACATAGACGTCCACTTCTCCATGTGACATTTCAACCTCCATCGGAAAAATATCGGACCAATATGTCTATATCTTCACCACATGCCACTTCAGCTCTACTTACGACACAGTAAAAAGTATTAACATTACCAGAAGGTGATTCATTCTAATATTTATTACTGGACAACACTTTCTATAGAAATATCAGGCCTACAAGGTAACAACCTCATTTCCTCGTCCTTGAGCATTCTGGTACATTGTTGTCAGTTCTTGATGTGAGGAGAACTGGACATATACATTCCTTCCCCTAGTATGATAGAAAGTATAAACATAGATTAAAACGTATGTGATATTAAAGACTAACCCAGAAAATGGAAACAAATCGTTACTTAAATTGCTATGTAAATCACAATAATATATAGTGCCTGCTCACTAGAGGTTTCAAAGCAAGGGGAAAACACCATCTTTATACCTTAGGGCAGGCTGAACATTTGCATAGAATTGCAGTGCACTGACTGCAGCAGTAGTATCTTGCATTTGGATAAGAGCCTGCACATGTAGCAGATTTCACATGACACATGTAATATACAACATAAACCCTCTATCTCTAGATTCTCTACCATATTGTAATGAGATTTTAAAAATACCTGATTTTTTGCACGAAGCATCACAAGCTTAGTTATGACTCCAAATGGCTGAAATAGCCGAAGCAAATCATTCTAATAGAACAACATAAGTTTCATCAGAAATAGTTAACAGATATAAAAGCATAATAAGCTCAAAATGATTCTACCTCGTTACATGTAACAAATTACAGAAATAAACTCCTTTAAAGAGAGAGGTGTTAAACTTCTGACTCCCTCTGGATTTTGCTCTTTGATGTATCTGGCAATAGACTAACACTTAGCAAAATAGAGAAAACTAGAAACACACAAGATTTATACTGGTTCGAATGAACTTTTGCCTACGTCCAGTTGTGATTTCTCTGGGCAGAGAAACCATGGCTTCTTTGGTTAATAATAGAGTATACAATACTTTTGCAAACCCTAGAACTAATCCCTCTCTTTTCCTCTCGGCTGTCTCTAGCTTTTTCTCTCATATGTTCCAACCTTGCCGCACCCTATTTATATGTATCACATTATATCCTATGCTAAGTGGAATAGTATCCTATTACACTTCCTTTCCAATTCCAATATACATCTAGGATTCCTACTCTAAATTGAATAAGGAAACTAAGATTCTTTCCTAGTCCTTTCAGGAGAAGAATCGGTGCACCCTTTATTTCCCTAAAACAATCCTAAATAGAAGAGGACACTAAGTGACGAGCCAAAAATCCTAACAAAAGGTACTTCCCTCCAAAATCAGCACTAGATTATGCAGTTCAACTCTCACCATTCATCTACCAAACCATTCTCTTGACATTTAGTTTTGTGGTTTCCTCAATTCCATTTAAAAAAATCTCCTCCTTACTTATAAAACATTCACACTTAGTGCACTGCTTCAGTTCTGATACTCAAACTTATACAAGGTAAATATACTATGAACTCACAGCCAATTGACTCGCGCAAAGCTGAAAAATGTATAAATAAAAGATTATCCTCAATTCCTGAAATTCTTTCTCGCCTTTTCCAAGAGTTTATTAATCTCAATTCCTTTAGATATAGTGAAAAGTCAATTAAACATAATTTTCTTCTGGATTGTCCCAGAAGCACTAAACTCATCAGTGTAGGACTCTATTTGTTTTATCTTAGGTATTTTTTAAACTGCAACTGAACAATCAGTACTCATAGAGTGCTATTTTTTCTTTTCTCCAACACATATTCTCCCTTATGTTTGTATAAGCAATGGCTAAAACCCCCAGTACTGGCACAATTTTTATGTACAACTGTAGTAAATCTTGAAGTTATCAAATATAGCTTGACATTATACACTCCTAGCATGAACCACCAAAAAACAAGACTGCAAACACAGTTTTATAGCTACATAACTGTAACTTCTTGTCCTAAATATGTGTCTATTTCTCTCCCGTCAAAGAGTCCACAAAACCACAAGGGAGGTCTAGTTGTGTTGGAAAAGCAACCTCACCAGTTGAAAACACCCCCAAGGCAAGGCAACAGAGCTAAGCTATCAATTAAGCATTTATTTAGAACCACTGCCCATGTAGGATACCCACTTTCACAACATAAAGGACATAAAAAGAACAAGTTACTCTGACTCTCAGTCATAGTTCTTAACGATAATCAGCATTCCACAACAGTTCAATTCTTTCCTTGCCTGCAGGGAGAAGCAGTCACTTACCCCAACAAACAAAGAGAGAAGGGAAAGCATCATACTAAGATTCCTCACCATGCTAACTAGACATCATACGAAAACTTTACCCAAGTTCCTAAGCCAACCTTGAATATCAGTTTCCAGGAAGGATCCAAAACATCCATAGTCGCAAACCAAGACTCCCTCTAACATTGAAGATTCCCTCTAACTTTTAAATTGAAAGCCCCTTCAAAAGTTCTCTAGACTCCTAGCCACCGCCACTCCAATCTCGAACACAAGACATAAGATTTGTGGCATATAGCACAGGTATCCCAACCTCTTAACCTCTTATTCAAGCATTAAGTAGATCCCGGACCAGTTGTTCTTTAAAGGAAATTCCCATTCAAATATTTTAAATGGAGGTGTAACTCCTTTAAGCAGGCCACCAAGTTGTTAAATGAAATTATTCATCTTGCACTTAATGCTTATTCTCCTATGATGGATGCCATAGCCTCACCTCGCAGATTCAAAATCTTTTCTTTGTTGCTTTCGTAACATCAATTATATAGCCAGCTATTAGTTAACAGATTTATCTGAATATGAAAACTAATAGAAGAAAAAGGGAATCCACTAATGACTCAACAAAGCCAATCACCACCAATAGACAAAACAGCGTGCAAGAACACAGACATCATGTCACTCTATGCCTCTAGTTTTAGGTGACCATGAATTCAACCAACATGAAAGTTAATGACAATGATACAAATTTTGGAAAGGCATTGAAACAAATCTTAAATTTAAAGTACGCTAAATCTCGGCATTTGCATAAACACTGTTAGAAGGGCAGAAACATACTTCAGAAATTTCATGCCCCACGTTCCGAACATGAATGACATTAGAAGGTTCTGTCATCGTGGAAAACCCTGCAACAAACCCAATCAACCATGGTCAACCACACATTACCGTTTTCAGGCACAACCCAATTTAAACAACACCAAATTCACCAAAGCTGAATAATAGCAATGCACATTCTTATGTTCAATGACAACACCAAATTAATCGGATAAAAATGGCTCCAAGTATTATTAAATCCCTTCAAAATACAAAAAAGTTATTTTTTCTTCAAAACATTAATTTGAATAGAAAATTAAGCTGTTTTATTAGAGGGCACAACACGCTAAACGAAAAGGGGTATTTGCTTTTATTAAACAAAACTGACTGAGCTGACAAAATTGAACAGAACTCAAAACCCTAAAGATCTGTTTGGTTGCCGAGAAAGCAAAGGAAGGAAAATAATAGCTGAAGAACGAAACAGGTCCAGTGACTTATTAGGTCCCAGTTACCGGATTAAGATTTGGACAAGGATTGTCTGCCCTCGCTATTTCTCTGCAACCGACCGCACCTGCATATGCTTAAAAGGACATCGACAATGAAAGGTAAGACGGAAGAAAGGGGCTTGGCTTGCCTGAGAGAGACAGAGACAGAGACAGACACAGAGACAGAGACAGACAGACAGACAGACACAGAGAGATCGAAGGAGGTCGGGAGTGAGAGGTAGACTCAGTCAGGTCAGAGCTGCGGAGAAAGAGATCGAGTGCTTGACGACATGTAATTGCAAAAGATATCATATGTGATTACATTCGAATGCACACAAAAACAAAGCACAAATTTTTAACACGTGGATGTGAGGTGAGAGGACAAAGGTTGCGTTCTTGGACCCCCACTAACTCGTCACCAATTATCCAAACTACGGACATGGTTACTTAATTCCTGATACGATTCGTTAATTTGATATAACATAACATGAAATTAATACGTATTCGGGCCGATATGATAACGAATTGGATCGTTATCAGGTAACCCGATAAGCAGAGAATGAGTTGGTTCGGGTATACATGTAAGCAATACGATACACGATAAGTAAAATATTAATTTTATAATTTTATAACCCTAAAAAAATACTATAATAATTATATATATTAATTTAATAATTTTATATACACACCCCGATCCTAGAATTAAAACGTGCTGGCCATCACGTGAGCGTGACGTAACCAAAAATGCAATGCGGAAGCAAAAGATATGAGAAATACGAAGGAATAAAAAACCAACTACTAGCAATAATATCCAACTAGCATGCTAGAGTGAGTTTAAGTGTGCAGTACACAATTTCAGAGCATAAATACTAGGTGCAGTCAAGTAGGACTATAATTAAATTACAACACCCGCAAGTGAGTCCTACATGCAGGAAGTCTGTCAGAACGCCAAAAAAAACCTCGTGAGCCACCAACTGCTAACTAGAACCTGGAGGGGCGCAAAACAAAATTGAGTGGGTCAGTAAAACCAAAGTTTTCCAAAACATTTCATTTAAAACAATTTTAACCCCTCACTGTAAAACCTGTATACTTTCCCAGAAAATAACATAATAGCATAATATTTGTTCAAATCTCTCAAAACATTAATCTTTACCAAAATCCAGCAAGTATGCCATGCAATAATGTCAATGACAGAATATGGATGCATCAATATAACAGGTGACATAATGAATCAACCGGAGACCTTGTAGTTGGTTCTGTACGGTTAATTCTATAGCTCACTATCCAATCCAGTCGGAGTCACCACGGTGACCTGTACGGCGCTACTCTGCACATAATGTCAATGACAGAATATGGATGCATCAATATAACAGGTGACATAATGAATCAACCGGAGACCCTGTAGTTGGTTCTGTACGGTTAATTCTATAGCTCACTATCCAATCCAGTCGGAGTCACCACGGTGACCTGTACGGCGCTACTCTGCACATAAGTCGGAACTACCTGAAGTAGTTTGTACGACAAGAATGGTGAAATAATACGCTCTAGTGCTTCTCTCATCGATCATCTGCGCGCATAATCTAAAGTCACCTACCAGTCGGAACCACCTCTAGTGATTTGTACGACTAGCATGTCGGAACCCTCTCATGGTCTGTACGACATGCACCTACTTAGATCCAAGGTGAGCGTGCGGTGCGGTGAATAATATAAGCACTAACACCATGGGTGCAGGTTATGAGCTCTCAACACAATTCACATCATCAATAATTCACATAAATAACATAAAACTCACCTGATACTCACCTGTGCGTCCATAGCACCAATTCACATATATATATATATATGCATCAAATATCAATTCATATAATTCACAATATGCATGCATGGCATTTTAAAACGTACTTTCATTTAAACTCAATTTCTGGGAAAATCAATAGTATAGGTATAAACAGAAAATACTGCCCACTGACTGGTAAGTCGATGGTTTGTAACCCCCGTGACGTCCCTGGATACGCTCGTCCTCGGGATAAGTGTCACCTATATGCGAAACAACTATAAAAACGTTAATTAAAGCACATAACCAACAATTCGAAATAACTTCTCATACGGTGCTCAATATACCACAGTGACCTACTCGACGTCACGAACGTCGACATATTTTTAGAAAAAAAATTTGGGCTTGTCACGCGCCCCCACGCGCGTCTCCTACCTTGGGCTCGCCGGACTGGTTTTTCCAGTGGCCGGAAAACTGGAGATTTTTCAATCTCCTTGTTCTCCGTCATTTCTCAACCAATTTCTTCGTATTTTATATCAATTTGAAGCCCTCAACATGTAGAATCACGTTAGACTAATTTAAGGCTCTAAACATAACGAAATCTCACCGGAAAAATTCCAATAAAACCAGCCAACTTTGAACTCAATGATCCCGACGTCCAAAACCTTCAAACTAAGCACTATGAGCTTCCTTAGGACCTCACTAAGCTCACTATAAGCTTAGAATTTCCTGAAATCCAACAATTCACGTGTGCATGAACAGTGATCTCAAAATGGGTTTCGGATTTCACGTGATATCGAGGGTTCCAAGTTCTAAAAATTGCACCAATGAACTCACAAGCTTGCAAGGATTCACAAACTAACCTTTTTGATGTCGATCTGTGAAGGTTGGAGGGTTTTGGTGCCTCGTCCATACGAGTCGAGAGGGAGAGAGGAAGAAGTGAGAAGGGGAGAGAGATAGAGGGCACGGGGAAAAGGGACAGGGTGTCCCGTGTGTGTGTGTGGTCCCTCAAAAAGTTCCACTCTTTAATTCCCTAACCACACAAATATACACATATCCTTTAATCAAATTCCAATTTTTCCAAAACTTAGGGAAGAATATATATTAAGGAAAACTAATGAAAAGGGCTTGAAAACTTTGAGTTTTAATGATAATGACAAAATAAAGGGTAAAGTGAATAGTACCAGGATTGACTTTTTAGTGTAAAAATATGATTTTTCGTTAAAGTGAACAGTACCGGGAGTTTTTCGTTAAAGTTCCCTATATATTATTCATAATATGTCACACCCATACCTTAGTAACCGCCAGGGCAGTTTCGTCGTTTCACAACCTCGAGAATAGAATCTCGGGACGGGCTGTAACATTTATACCCCTAAAAAATATAATAATTATATATGTATATATGTATATATGTGTATATATATATATATATTAAATTAAATATTAAAAATTGGTGACCATTGGATCGGCTTAAATATACATACCATTCAATTTCTTAAGTGTTATATATACAATATATATATACACCATTGAACTTGATAGGATACGAATTCTACGAAACTAATTTCAACAATTCAACCGTCAAACTTGTTTATATATTGACACACCCCGACCCGGAATGTCCACTAGGACTTCGAATGGGCTATGATGGCCGACACCTGGAAGGTGACGAAGCCATAGAATGTGATGATGTGGAAGATTATGAATAAATTTAAACCTAAGAGTGCCTAAATACCAGAGTGCACCGGTGAACGGAAATGAACTCATTTCACACGTGACGTTAGAGCATAAGCACGTGCAAAAGAGTGAATTAAGAATCGTACCCTCAAAATAATCTCCAATACTAAGAATCACTATGAATCTTCGAAGATAAGAATGAAGGAAATCTTTTGGGAAAACATGTTCATTTGAGCAACATCATATAGCATGCAATTAACAATTAAAGGCGGAATCATGCTTGTATGCACTCAAAAACAAAACATTACCATGAAATTCAAAGCCTAGTAGATTGGTGAACCAATAATCAACTCAAAACAAAGTGAGTTGAAATTAATACCTTTGTAGATTCCTCTTTGCATAAGCAAAGGCTAATCACCCAAAGAGATAGGGCCTTCATTCCTTGCTTCTTAGATCCATGGATTTGGATGGAAGAATAGGTTCTCTAAGTTCTCAAAATTGAGAACCTCTAAGTCTCTTCACCAAGGTTAGATTGTAGAAGAAATGAGTGACCTTGGAGTAGTAGGATTGCTAGATGTACCCTCCAAGGTGTTGGCCTATTTAGAGAGAAAATGGAGAGACAATTCTCACCAATTTTCCCCAAAATTAAACCCATTTTTTCCTTAATGAATATTTGGCTATAAAGTCATTTATATAGTCACTTCTTTAAGTGACCTAAATAACCAAAAAAAAACCCTAATTCATTCTTCATGGCCGGCCACCTAAAGGGATTTGGGCTTTTGGGCCTTAATGAATCTTTATTCATTAAATTGTCATACAACTTAAGTTAATGGGCTTGACGTTCGAAGCCCATTAGGCCTTAAGGTCCAAAACTATCCCCGAGGTCTTTAACGAACTTATTCGTTTGATTAATTAACATATTAATTAATCTTTGCCATAAATAAATGATTAAACCATTTAATCATTCTTACTCATTTCCGTTTAATCTCCAATCTCTACCTTTTATGGTGTGCGATCCATTAAGTTCCTTTTAGCGAGGTAGTGGGCGATTAAAACCATTTTACATCGATTGTGAATTGAAACTATTTTCAATTCTCCCTTTAGTGATTACACACGTTTAGGGCTTCCACAAACCATGAGTGACACCTAGCAGCATATCATGGTTATCCAAGCTAATCAGAAGAGGTTAGAGAACCTATTCAGTTCGAGATTACAAATGCAATACGGTCTTTCTCTAATCTAATACTCTTGACCACATTGTTTGGTTTGATAGTTTATTTTCTCATGTCTACTATCCAATGTGTGTCTTGTGCTTATATGATTACCTTGAATGTGATTCGGAACGCATTCCCTAATCTCATTCATACTCTGGCCAGAGATTCAAATCATATCAGAGAGTATTCTCCCTCAAACGGTTTGAAGGTTAGAGATCCCTTGTTGCGCATTCACTTGTCTCCATAGATAAGTGGCTTGACCCCAACGATGCCGTGGACACCCTCCTGATGGAGTGACTTTGACATAATCAAAGATCAAGGACTTAACCACAAGACACCTATGATGCCTCAGGTCAAAGGACTACTTTGCATTATCCCAACCATGAGTTCTCACGTGACATGGAATATGAGAACTCTTCATTGATCGCGTTCAGTGAACTCATTCTCTATTGAGCACCTACCGTACTTGTCTTGATGTCACACACACCAATGACTCGAGACTAATCACTCTCCCTGAGAGAAGACATAGTACGTACTGATCTTAACGGACTGTCAACGCCCAATTGGCAATCCTATGATCAGGAACGTTTAGGATGTGTCTACGAAAGAATGGTCTCATGAATCTAACTTTATTAGATTACATTCTCCC